CTCCACAAGCACACCTTCTTCCTCGGCATGCCTGCGTCTCGAACACAGCCCCTTCGGGCGGCAACTGCATTCAAAAACCACAGCCCAACTTCTACACAACCCCCTGACACAACCGCGCAGAGCCACTCCTCCTTCCATTAAAAAGCTAAGAGCCAAGACATTGCAACAGTCTTCCATCGAGGGAGGGACAGACTTCATACAGCGACTTACCTTTTCAACTAGAAGAGAGACTGCTTAGGGCACAACCAAATCAAAGCAGATTTATGTACATTTAATTGCATTGCAGTGCAGCACATGGCTAATTAATGACTTCTGCACACTTACTGAAAAAATATCAGCCATTAAGGGTCATGTTAGATGGTTGGGGGCAAACCACCGCCGTTACGACATGCTTTCAGCACACAGATGCCTTTGCAGTACATCGGCGCACATGTGAAGAGGCCAGATCGGGAGAACTCCACACTGGAGCTCGAACCGCAAACCAAGAAAACCGGGAACTGAAACATCGAACGGGTAAGATTCCGAACAACAACACAGGCACGGGTTTCGAACGATAAAAAAAAACGAGTGATACAAAACACAGGGTATCTCCACGGTGCTCCACGATTTATCATCACTGGGCCGGATGACTCCTGGTGCATGCATTCCAAAGAGTCATCTAGCACAGCCCAAGTGACCACCTCTTGTTTAAAGCCCACAAGCCCAGGCAGGCACCTCAAGGTGAACGAACACCCTGTGCAAACAGAGAACACCCCCCCCAGCCGCCCAGCGGCCTCTGCTCACCAGGCAGCCTGGCAGAGGGGTGCAGATTCTACCTAGCTATGCCAATTCCTCTTCACCAGCATCACAGGAGGCTGCTCACTCACGCCTCCCGAGTGGAGAGGTGCGGTGCAGATATTTTAAATTTTGGATGGGCAGTGCGTTTACTCCGCATCGGGGGTCACTTGGCTTTGAACCCGCGCCAGAGCTCGGCACAGGCTTGGCACGCTCCCACACCTATCCGCCTCCTCGACCCCAGCCGCTACAAAAAAATCAACACCCCAATGGCACGCATCTCGAACCCAGCTCCTTCCTGAGCAGGAAGAGCCCAAGCGCAGGGGGGGGCGACAGTGCAGCACACAGCTGGACAGACGACGGGGAAGACCACAACAGCCTCATTTCCACACCCCCCTTCCCCAAATTCATACCCAGCGATAGATCACCGGGGCTTCTACTGATTAAACCTCCCTGAAGGTTCAGGATATTCGTAGGCAAGAAAAATATTAAGATGATGGAGAGTCTTGACACCAGCATGGCAAGTGAATTAAAACCGTCCGGAATAATCAGTTTTAACACTGTTCCGACAACACACAAACACTGGAAATTTACTAGACTAGGGGTCTGTGTTCTTTCTTTACAGCAGAACCGTGAGCTTATTCTGTCCTGGCAACTTCCTAAAATTAACATAAGGGATCACCCATGGATGTCTGTAAACACCAACCAATTTCTCATCAAATAAAGGTGACTTCTTTTGATCAATGAAACTATAAGCTTAGAACCGCTGTCTTAAACAATGCATGACTAAGACACCTCTATTAATATTGTTAGCATTTTAAAATAAAGCATAGGTTGAGAACAGGTATTTCAAGTGCTAGGCAGAAATGGCTTCAGTTCCTCTTGACATTTACATTTGTGGTGTTGATGACGGAAGATGTCTGCAGGTACATTTCGACTGGATTCCTTGTCAAAAGCTAACTCACCAAATCCTGTCCTGCCAGTGTGAGGTCACAATCCCCTCTGTGACATCACAATGACCCGCAGCCCCGCCTGGCGACACAAGGATGTGTGGCCCATTGTGCGAGATAATAGTTTTACAACCGAACCTCCAACACTCCAGCAACAAACAGATCTACCCAAACAAGAGGCAAACGGGAACATGGCATTCAAACCAATTTTTCGCCACCCTGACCCGTTTCACGTAAATGTTTCCGTTCGGCTTTTGTCTCGTTTTTTACCACGATTTCCATCTTTTGAAAAAGTCCTGATTAAAACCGACAAAGGCCACATTCTTCTCACCCCCAAGGAGAGCAAATTCACCACAGTTTGTCAGGAAGTGTATAGGAAGTGCTTTAATAACATGAAAAGCCCTAACATACCAAGTCACATGTAGAGATGGCAGAAGAAACAGGGCCTGTTCACAACTGCATTCCTATCCCAAATAGGATCCGAGTGTTACGCCAGCATCTCAGTCAGGCCCTGCCTGAATTTCACCACAATGCAATGACACCCATCTTCACAAACAAAAACAAATCACACGTTTGAACTAAAAGTGAATCAGCCTGTTAAAAACTATTTGTGTAATATGTACTAAATCACCTATATACATGTGCATTCTCTCTCCTTAGCCATTTGTGTATGGAAACCTCTTTTTATAAACTCCCTCCTACAAACATTAGCCCTCAAACACTTTCAAGAAAATATTTTTTTTCCCAAACCATATCTTGCAACCAAACTGGGAAAAAAAAAGCCTAGGAAATTTTCGAGCAGTCTTGTAGACCTGGGAAGGTTATTTTCACTACTCCTCTAGGGACAGCTTCAAAGATCTTCCTGAAATAATACACTGCCCATAAGAACAGTTTTCCCCTCACACAAAGCAGACTGTCGCCTTAAAATTGAAGAGTGTGAAATCTCACAATTCTGTTGTAAATACTTTTTCGTCTGCAGGAATTAAGATAGGTGCACGGGATCTACGTCGCCGTATATATGCCTTATAAGAGGAGTAGCCATGTCGTTACAAACCAGACCCGAGAGACGCCATTATTTTGTGGCGAGTGACGTAAGCGGGCCCTGTACTGCGAGAGAAGCACGTGTTTGGAGTCAAGATCTTTTTGTCCCTTCTTTTAAAAAATATTAAAGTTGAAAGTTTTGTTGTTGTTATTTGGTTCATTTCTTTTACCCCTTGAAGGCTTTTGATGAAATACGTGCATATGTATCGTCAGCCACCACAATGATAGTTTAACTGACGCATGGAATTAATTAAAATACATTACAAATTTGTAGGGAATGAAAAGGCAAAGGCGCACACTCCCCTCGCTATAATAATGTTATTGCCTGAAATTGCAAAACATGTTGCTCTGCTGCTGCTGGAAAATTACTTTTTTTCCCTCTTAAATAAAGTTTTGGACTCTTTCGCCTCGGCCTATAATTCAGATCAATGTAAAAAGGAAGACATTGCACGTCGAACACGTATTTCTCTTCGCTGATCATAAACAGGTTTCCATAGCGCGTATACAGAAATCGATTATTGCCACTGCTGACAATAATTCTCCCAATAAGGCGGAACAGACCTGTCTGATTCAGACTACGCCATCCGCGTGGCTTTTATTTTAAATCCAGAAAGATTAAACTCCCTTTTTTATCCTAAAAGCCTCCATTTTGATTTACAGTTATTTTTTTAAAAAAAAAAACAAACTTGCGCTCTGTTCGGTAAAATGTTCAATGAAATGCTAACAGGCCGGGGACGACATTCTAAAAATAACAATTTAAACAAAACCACCACGAACCCCCACCCCAGTCTTGCGGCCTGGTTCGGTGTGTTCGAACCACACAATGGGCCCGGTCAGTGGCCGAGCGGTCCGGTTCTTGTGGTCCTGGCCGGACCAGAACGTCGTGCTAAGGGACAGGAGGGGTCCTGATCCCCAGTGGGTCACCCCCCTAACCCCACCACCCCACGTTTGGGGAAATATGCGCTTGGGGGCTGGGGAGTGGCTGAGGCCAGCTTTGTAAAAACTTGTTTTGAACACATTTTAAAATTGGGGAGACAGAGGGGAAGAACACCATTATGTTCTACTGAGCAGTTCAGTATTTTACAGACCCAAGAATTGCACATTTGTACTCCAACCGCGCACCTCCCCCGGAATCAACACATCCACACAAACTCCAGCGACTGTACTGGGCGCCTCGATTATTTTTGTTTAAGCGCTTTCAGAAAACAAGCTGGAGAGGGGAGTTTTAAAATGTGTAGCTGTTAAAACGGCAAACGTCTTCGAACTGAGAAAGTGTCCTACAGACGACTTCTGCGTTCAGGGGGGCAGTTAATGCACAGAAAGATACTGTAGCCGAGAAGCCAAGATGAAGATTTTAACGTTTCACTAGCACAATGCCAAAACAAAGGGCACCGCTTGAAAGAATGTTTCTACTCCACACAAAAGGCACGGAAGATACTCCCCAACAACATTTATTACCGTTTTCCAGCCCCAAGTATCTAGGTGATGAAGTTAAGTTGTATTTAATATTAATAAAACCTCGCCAATTATTTCCTAACAAACAAATGCATACTTTTTTTTAAAAAAAGCGAAACATTTCAATGTAAAAAAACTTTAGCAAATTTGCGTGAAATAATTTAGTAACCAATTTTACAGATGCATAATCTTCGTTCGCAAACACACCAGGTTTACTCGAAGCCCAGGTAAATTAAAAAAAAAACTAAAAGCACAACCGCCTCACTAACCTTCATGACCAGTAGGCCTTAAACTCAAAACCTGCAACTACAACCAAGACATTCTGATCAGAGCTGTTCACTAGCAAGCAGTCCCAGATTCTCAAAAAAAAAGACATTTTCTCCTCTTTTTACGTGCATGAATTTCAAGATGGCGAGAGAATGAATTGAAATTTTAGCAAACACTAAATTTCGTGCAATTGACTTTCAGGGTGTTCTTTTAGTGAAAATGTATTTCTGATTCGAATCGAAAGCAATCCGTCATTTTTTTATGGGGAGGGGGGAGGGAGGGTAAATTACGACTAGTCTTTCCAGCCTAAATTAAAGTTTGGCGTGGAGAGGGAGTTGGACTTGAAAACAGGCCCAATTCGAGAACTAACACTGAGGAGGGAATTCGTCACCCTACGAGATCGGATCCCTTCTTCATTGCACACCACTGAATGCAACCACACAAAACTCATTCCAGGCCATCCGGAGCTCAAGAAAACTCGACACCCCCAAATAATTCGAATACCCGAAGTACCTTTGCTTCTTGGGCACAGAATGTTCGACTTCCATGCGCTTTCCGTGCAACTCCACTTTACCTGAAAAACAAATACAGTCGTTTTTGCATTAACGTCCCCCTTCTGTGTACCGTCCGAGCAGTTTGATTTTTTTTTTTTTGTTTGTGGGGATGTTAACGCATTTTCGTTCTTGTCTCGTCACGGCTGGCTTTCACAAAATGGAAAGAGTTTCCTAGCTGCTGCAGTTAGAAAGTTGTTGTTTGTTTTTTTTTTTAATTGAGGAAAGATCCGAATGGGTCCCAGTTCCGCAACCCTGACGTGGTAGTTCAAAGAGACGTTTTTTTTTTTTAAATAAAAAGGGTACAACTTCATACACTGGGTACTCGATGTAAGGGAAAAAAATTGTTACAGGCACGGAAGGTGACATATCAACACACCTAAACATCTGCACGGCGCCTTTCCTCTCTGTAGTCGTGCCCCAAGCTGTAATGGTCTTCGTTATAGAAATTACTGGGCAGCGGCACGACTAGGGGAACTTTTACAGCTTTTGTCTTGTTGGGGTGTTGCTAACTTTTTTTTCACCCCCGCTTTTCTGCGGGGTCACAAGTTTCCCCGGTTCTCTCGGCGTGGAGCCGTTTAACTATGACGAAGGAAAACAGTCGCCCGCCGTGTTCTCGTAGCGCGACTATAGCTGAATCGCAAGCAGCATGGCGACCTTCGCGCTATAGGGAACATCACATGCTATAGGGGGTAATGTACAAAATCAGGAAAATTGATTCTTTAAAAAAGGAAGGACCGAAAAACTCGCGGACGATTCGCCTATCGCCTGTGACCGTACAACGGTCCCTTCTCTCCGATTATTCGAGAATCACCTCTCGCTTCTTTAAATCCATAAGGCATGTTTGACCTAATCACTGGCTATTTTTGTACAAACAAATTCAATTCCTCTTATCTATAATGGCCTATCATGACAAAAGGGGGAGGGGATCTTGTTCGTATAGCTAAACCCTTATATACAGACCAGAGCAATGCCACCCCTCGGGAGTTCTCTCGGGGACTGGATTCCCAATTAACGTTTTTTTTAAAAATTAAAAATAAGAGGTCCAGGCATGCCTGCCTTAAATAATAAAAGATATCAATAGCAACCTGTTTCACTGGGACACATACCTTGTAAGGCACCAGTTTGCCACAGACCATTTTTAAACTCTGCTGCCGATTCGACTCTCCCCGTTTAAAAGTTATCTTTCGGCCAGGTTTTAAAACACCTCCCACACGGAATTAAACGGAATGACCGAAATCTGTTGGTTTTCAATCAGATAATCCCCCTCCCCCCGACACCCCTCTCCTCTGCAAACAAACTCAGTGGATTCCGAAATTGGAGTGAGAGAAATTCACGGAGTACGCGTTTTTTTTTTAATCCACATCCCCTCCAAAAAAAAAAACTCACACTTCGTTGTAAATTGTTTAAATACACCGCTCTGGTTAAAGAAAGGTCTCGTTACTTTTAAAGAGCTTACCAGAGAACGTTTCGATCGCCTTCATCGCCCAGTGGTCATCTGGACAGTCCACAAACGCGTAGCCAGTTTTCAATAGAAACTGCCCAGAGAAAGGGATCTTGCAGTCCTCAAAGACTTTCACCAAGTCCTCCGAAGTCACGTTTTCACTCAGATTTCCAATATACAGCTTGTTCATGGTGGTGAAAAACACAACTGTTACCGGTCCCCCAGGAGAAAAAAAAAAGAAATAGTTTTTTTTAAAAAAAACCCCACAAAAAAAACCAAGGACCCGAAATTAAAATTGGAACCAAAAAACAAAACAAAACGGAAGGACGAAGAGGGAGAGTGGCTACTCGGAACGAAGGAGAAAATAAAACGGCGCCTCGAAATTAAAATTAAAAAGAAATCGGGGTGAATGGGTGGGAGAGAAAAAAAAAGTTGTGGGCGAAGTGGGGTCGCCGCGACCGGGAGCTGCCGAATTCGGATTCGCCGAGCGAAAGCGGAGACGTCGAGACTGCGGCGCCGCGGATCTCCAAGTGAATCGCACGCACTCTCGGCGAACTGGACTGGGGAGAAGATTGTTGCACAGGCGGCGATGGTGCTGTCGGCGGCAGCAGCGATAGTAACAGTGCGATGGCGCGATCAGGGGGGAAAAATTGCTCCTCTCTCTCTCTCT